CGGGCACTTTTCAGAAACTCTCTAAATGTGCCTCCACACTTAGGTCAATAGAGTAAAACGGTTAATTCCTGTCACGCAATCTTGCCATGAACAGCGTCTGGACTCGCCAGCGCCTGCCTGTGTCTTGCCTGCACTCAATCTTGCTTAAATAAAATATCATTCCCCGTGATCGAGTTTTTTTTAAACGTTTGAACGCCTTCTCACAGATACCTGTGGCTACCCTGCATTTCACTGAGCACCAGGGCGCTGGCAGTCGCCGTGGCCCGCAGGACGTCAAGGGAATGTATTTCCTACTTTCCTTTCAATTTTTACAATTCCACAAATTTCCAAGGTATAGGTTAGAAATTGAACGATCAGGGGCAGAAAGCTTTGATTTTTTGGGGGAGGAGGGGAGCCGATATCATTTTGTCGTGTGGCGAACCGGTGCGCATATGACTTATTTGATGTTACTCGTTTAAAAAAGCATAGCCTAGAACATAAACAAGTTGTTGATGAGCGACTAGAAAATTCAAATTTCGAAACATGGTATCAGTTTCTTTAATAAAAGGCATCGATAGAAAGAACAATGACGTTACTATCTTCATGAGAGCCTCTGAAACTCCTAGTTACACCTTTTTATAGTCATTACCTACCGTGTTACAATTCGTTAGCATTCACCATCCGTCTGGGCTGCCATCGTCGAGCTTAAGGATAGTCCAGCTTAGTGGACATCGATATGAATGTTTTATTTGAAATTGAATGTTTTCGCTGAACCCTGTGACACAAATCATTTACCCATGGTCATTTTATTCCTTTTAATTGGATTCAGGTGAGGGAATGAAGTGACGCGAGAGGTAACTGGGGGTATTGGTTGCAGGAAGTCGTTGTTTGATATAGTTTTGCAATTGGAAATTTTTGGGCAACCTTATTTTTGGACGGACAGCTGGTCCATCGTAGGACTTTGAATTGGACTTTGGACAACAACTTTCAGAAAGCGGCAACTCTGGCCACAACCACCCTCCCCCGCCCCCTCAAATTATGCAGGTCATCAAAACGCCAAAACATCAGGCAAACACTGCTCCCTGCAGCTCCCCTCAACACCTGTCGCCTGACCCGCTTAGCTCCTGACCAAGCAGCACTTCATTCCCCACTACGGAAAGGTGTTGTCTCAAAGGAGGAGTTATCTCCGTTCGAGGCAGCGTCAGTATGTTGAACCTCGTTTCTTCGTTGCCGTCAGTATGTTAGGATTGCTGACATCCCTGTGTGACGTGCAATATGCATTTTGTGTGTGGAAACTTTTTTCAAAGAGTCACGACGGCCAGAATGTGCTCGAAACCAGCGTCCTAGGATTGCTAGAATAGCCTTTGAGTGTAAAGCGACATCCTATGAGGAGACATTTTTCGCCCATTTTCCCATATTTTAGGTTAATTTCCACTCCTATCTTATATTGTCTAACCACACATACCAAACTCATATTTTCTTTCCCGAGGTTTTGAGATGTCATCCAAAACCGAGCTCACTTGAAACCATCAAGTGTAAACAAGGCTCCACGGAACCTGGGCACCTATGGCTACATCCTGCCTCACCTACATCTGAATCATGTCTATGTATGCACAGAGCAACGACACCAGGTACCTTCAAGCCCGAGAGCCCCAGCGACTCATGCCGCTTGCATGCATCAAGTTTGGTTTGCTTACAAAATGCATCACAATTTACAGCTGTGTGCCAAACACCGGGTTTTCACGCATCCCAACTTTTTTGGTCGCACCAAGCAAGCACCACACCACAAACGCAGAGCCTGATACAGACACAAGCAAAGCCTAGTAGAAAATTTTGCCGCGCGTACTTCGGCAAATTTAAGAAATATCTTCCAAGTAAATTTTAAAAGATGAATATCACCGTTTGGGTACTTATTTCCACAGATTTTTAATCACATGAGCTGATAACAAAATTGTACCACAAAACCGTCAATTTCTATCCTTATTTCATTACTTTTGTTTTCTTGGTATCATACGAGTGTGATGCACCCTCATTTTTCCTTCCTTTCTAACTATCTTTAAGGATACAATCTATGCTTTAACGTGTTGACCAATTTCTCTGAAAAATTTTCGAACTGCAAGCTTGCATATATTTCATACATAAATTGGATTAATTCGCCAGCCGCCCAAACATGTTTGATATACACTCAGGAGAGAACAATTCATATGGAATAAAGGACAGTTTAACGCACGGAACTCAGTCCTAAGGCCATTTTTGCCCTATTAAACCCCTAGTCAGCTGTGTTTTTTTCATGGCGGGGCTCGATAATGATAGATCTAGGCCATTTCTGTCTTGCTACCTCACCACACTATATTATCCTGCCGAACATGGGTTTGGGACAGACCTGGCGCAGCTAATACAAAAGTGGTTGATTCCGCAATGCTGCCCTTTGAAACAGCTATATCATACAAACCTCCTCTTAATTATTTCGCAATTTAATCTTATTGGTTGATGGGAATGATCGATATGTATATTTTGGGGGTGGGTTGGATGACCCTGTCTGCCAGCAAACCATGCGAATGATACTGACTTTTTGTATGGGGGAGCAGAAAGAAGCCTTTCCTTAAAAAGCCGGTAAGATTGTCCTTTGAAGCAGCTATTTGCCAGCCTTGCATGCTTTCAGTGCATGATTTGTAACCAGATTTAGCTATTTTCTGTTTTAATCCATCGGGGTTTGTTTATGAAACAAATCATGATGCCACAAGATATGTAATGAAACTTGTGTTCCATACTGTCGATTTGTTGCCTCGAATTTGCTGAAGTGGTTTCTCATGTCTGCTTTAACGAGATGTTTTCCATAGTTGTCATGGTTCGCTGAGTGGCAAATAACTGTACCGTAGATATGCACGATACTTTTTAACACAGGAATACTCCAAGCCGCATAGCAATTACAATGTGAGGTAGATATCAGCTTTTAGCAAATAGTAAGACCATCCCATCTAAAATGTGAAGCGAACATCTCAAACATTGCCATTAAAAATAAATAAACAAACCTAAATGGATGCCTTTGCTGGAGCTGAAATGGCAAGCAGCAAAACTGGTTTTGTGGCCATCTGAAAATTATTTTAGGTCTGGAGAAGAGAGATTGTTTTGAGAGACATGCCCCCTATTGCCCTTGACAGAGGCTAACCATGACTACAGAATAAATTGTTCAAATAATTTGACATGTTCTGATTTGTGTGTTGTCAACTTTGTCTGGTGTCAATAAGCCGACACAAATGAACTGAACCAAAATACTGGTTGAACCAGCCACAAAATAAGCTTTTTCGTGTTTTATCACAAGTGCTGCTGTCAAGAAAAAGGTGAGATGAGTTGAGATGGTGTACGACGCACGGGCTATTCTAAGTTGGGTTAAGTTGGCCAATTACATGGCGAGAGGCAGTGGGAATATTGCAAGAATCAGTGACTCACAAATGCTGCTGTGATACAAATAGGTTAGACAGGGTGAGATCAGGTAAGGCTTCTTTAGGTTAGGCTTAGTTAGGTTGCTTTTGTGGAAATGAGCATTGGTATTTTGTAAGAAACGATGACATAATATTTGTTTTCCTGACGCCATCTTAACAGAAGACAGATGTCTATCTGTTGTGTTTGACTTGGTCATGTGCTGATGCGCTGGAGTCCAAGGCTTTTTTTGTTTAAATGCCTTCTGCTTATTGAATTTTTTTGCTTTGTTTTGTGTTAATAAATCCTGTGGAAGTTGAGTGCAGAGTGGAGCATCAAATTGCTGGTGTTTTAGTTTTCATAGTTTTTGATGCTCATCACACTGCTGTGAAATTACTTTTATTTAACGTATTCCGTTTCACTTAAATGACCTAAGATGTTAAAAAGCAAAAACAGTTGTTATGTCTACGATATCACGTCCATGCTAACTTGGAATGTGTGTCTTTGTTGGAGCATCTCTCACTGACCGATAAGTTCCAACTTTTGTGGATTAAATTTTTCACTCCCATACGGTCTTTTTGCGATGGAATTTTTCCCTCCCAACCTTCTTCAGAAGCGATTCTAGCTCATTGCCCGAGACCCGTAACGACCCACACTTTTCGACAGTTACGAACGGGACGTCCGTCCGTCCGTTTTGGTCGTTCAGTTGGTTAAAGCGTTTGCATTCAGATTCACCCACCCATGGCCGAGTGAGTTTGGGGTGCGTAAACCGCTCGCTATTTACCGTTGACTGGGATAGTCCAGGACCACGGCTAAAGGACCGCGGCTGGTGGCAGCGGGCTGCGCCACAAGTCAGGTGGTCAGATACCAGAACAGACCGTGTTGACCATTGCGACACATTAAACGATGGACAATTGCACGGTGAGGTGAGAGCTCACGCGAAAAGCATGGGGTTTGATCTAAAATCTGCTTATCAAAAAAGTAAAAAAGAAGTTTGAACTACATCTTTTGAAAATATTATAACTTGCTGGGAAGACAAGGTAGGGGACATTGAAGACGTAAGGTCTGGCGTAGAGTGAATTGCAACTTCGCGTGCAACTCTGTCAGTATCGGCCGCAGAAATGTTTCCGAGATATTCCGAATAAGCGGCCGGATGATCAGTATATATCAGTATAACAGTATCATCCTGCTGATGATACTGTACTGTTGGCTCATGCCGATGCGCAGATACTGGTGCTCCGCGGCACGCATGAAGTAATCATAATCGTATACTGTCAGGTCAGGTCTATCATGTTCGGGATAGACGGCTGTTCAGCAAAGCCCCTCTCTGCGAGAGGTCATAGCAGCGAGGCTGGGTTCTGGGTTCGACATCCGCAGACCAGTAGCGTTCGGCAGCCATAATCTGACGAAGCCGAAGACAGACTATGCCTCCCATCACCACCGGATGCTACACGAGACTCCCAACAATGCCCGAAATCGCATGCCCTCACACTTCACGCCAGGTTCATCTCTCAGTCGTGCCGAGTAATGTGGCGGTTCACGGGATTACGCAATAGCATCACCCGAACGCCATCGGCAGGCAGAACGTCACTCCGCCTCACCTTGAACGCCAGCAGGTACTTCTTGATGGCAGGAAAGTTGTAGGCGGCGACGAGGCCTTCCTCGCCGCCCCTCTCCGGGTGCTTCTTGGGGAAGAGCGGCAGCGACACGTCGAAGCCCTGCCGGAAGTTCTCCTCGGACATGCTGGCTTTGGCTAGGATTGCCTCGCCCATGTCGAACATCACGTCTTCGCTGTAGCTGGGCCACGTGCCGCTGAACAGGTTAAACACCAGATGGTTGCGGCCGTTGTTCCAGAGCGGCAGCGCGTGCACGCGCTGGTCCAGCTGGTGCACGAAATCGCTGCTCAGCTGGTCCCGGTCCAGCGTGTCCAGCGCCAGCACGAACAGACAGGCGGCGGCCGGGTCCTCTGTGGCCAGGCGCGACTCTCTGATGACGTCCAGCACGCGCCGGTACGCGCGGCTCGGCGGCGCTGCCTCGTCCACCGGGTACACGTACACGCGGAACGGCCGGCCAGCGCACCGGGCCAGGTCGAAGCACGTCGCCATGCGACAGTGTCTCGCGGCGGGCGCTGCGGCGGCGCGCTGGCGGCGGCGCGCGCCCGGCCCCGGGTCCGGCGGCACCGGGCGCCGGCCCCACCCTGCCCTGAAAGACACCAGACTAGAGCGCGCCACTGGCGCCGCCGCCCGCCGCCACGGGTTGAACGCGCCGAAGTAGCAGATGCCCAGGAAGGCAACGCACGTGACGGCCAGCAGGTAGCGCTTCTTGGCCTGCATGCTAGCGTTCAGCAGAGGTCACCGGGGCGGTCGCGGCAAACGGCGCCCGCTCGCCATCTCAAACAATCTGAAACAGAGGTCGGGACGTGGGTTAGACGGCGCGAAATGCAGCGGCATACTGTTGGCGATACACGGGTTTTGGACCGATAGCAAGCCAAGCACGAGTGGGCGCTGTAGCTCACGTTATTCAACTTCCGTCGGCACGCGTCTGAACTTCTCAGGAGGCAGGCGTCTGCATCCCTGGAAATCGTAGCCCTCGGCAGTTCGTGCGTTGCTATCAAACGCCAGTCCGAAACAGGTCGAAACACAACAGTTCGAAACACATATACATAGGGGACCTGAGTCACCCACAGCACACGCCTTGAGACACATATCGGACAGATATACCGTACAAGCAACAGCACTGGCAGGACTGTCAGGGCTTCCGCAGAACCCGTGCACTGAAGTTCCAGAGGACGCCCGCTTACAGGAAACGCTCCACATGGAGAACAACATTTCGTGCCAATCAACAACTATCTGCAAAACTTCGATCTACAATTTTGTTGGAGCTGATCCCCACGACCTTAGTTTCGGGGAAGGATATCGTCATAGCCGGGTTATAACTGAGTAGCGGTGATGCGCAACGTACCATACGGGCAGAGGACGGAATGGACCTATTTATTAGCATCGGCCCAACATTTATAGCAAACGTCCTAGTTCACCCGGGCACGCCGCACGCAATGATTTCCTTTCAATGTCGCACTTTCATCGCACGGGCACCCTCAAAACCCCAAAACAACGATCACCACGCAGCTGGCACAATGACCACACCCTGGATGGATTGCTGCTACTTCACAACATCAGTTGGCGTAGTGCTCCGGCCACCACGGTGACTTCACAGTGCAGCACCGGCGACAGCGTGGTCAACTGCACTCTGGTCACGTCCCCACCAGCACAATCGTCGCATCAATAACACCATCTTCCCACCCTCCTGCGCGAGGCTCACGACTCGGCTCCAGCCGTCCCATCGCGGTCGCGCCGAGCCTGAGAGGAAGCGACCGGGCCCACCCCGCGCCCCGCCCCCGCCGGCGGGCGCCCGTTCGCCGCCATCGCTCGCGCCACAGTCGGCCCACCCTGCAGTGCAATCGGCCCGTCAGCCGGTTCTATCGTGAGGCAGTCAGATGCGTCCAAGTGGCCGCCGCGGCCGATAGTCCCATGGCCGCAAACGGCCGACCGCTCGGTGCTTAGCAACCGGGCGGCTGGTCCAGTGGGCGTTCGGTACCGGCTGGTGGCGGCGGCCTCCCAGAGGTTGCCTGAGAGGACACGAAGGCAGGGGTGACGGTGTACGGGCAGGTAACCGCTGACAGCTGCGGGGGAGGGGGGCTGTAAAACGCGGCGGAGCTGCGCGCGCGCGCCGCACAGTGCGAGTCTCCGGGTATAGGAGAGCACGTTCCGAGGCGAGGGTACCGCGCCCTCTGAGGTGACGACATCACCAACAGACGGACGACAACCTGCCAAGACCAGGGCACCCCACTTCAACTCCGTCTGCCGGCCGGTCCGTGCCGAGCGAGACCCGCCGGAGCCCCGCCAGCCCCAGCGTCACCCTGACCCCCGAGCGGGGGCGCAGCTGGCACCCACCTGGCTCGAGGCGGCCCTGAGTCACGCGCACGCCCGGCGACGTGGCGCGAGTCGGCGCCAGCCACGTCATTCTCCGTTACTGCCGGGACTGCCGACCGAGGCCCGGCCCGACACAGGGCCGACGCCGGGGCACCGGACAGGGCAGATCCGGCTCAGTCCGGCGCCCTCAACGGGCGCGGCGAAAGTCGAGCGACGGCAGGGCACCGACGTGCCCTCTGTGTCCCCCGCGGACGGGGCGAGGCTAGGGGGAGGAACCGGAACAGGCCAGTGTTCTCATATTCGGCCACTTTGGTGGCAGGGACGTCGATACTTTTTCATACTATAACACCTCGGCTTCGGACTCACTGCCCATGCCCCCCCCCCCCCCCCCCCCCCGCTTGCTCAAAATCGGCCAATCGGCATCGAACCGGGGGGCTGTCAAACCGGCATCTATGCGCCTCAGGCTTGAGGAATGGGCTGAGTAGGTCAGACGTCTGGGCCGGGGTCAAAGGACAACGGTTTATTGCGCCAACGGTTTGCGCGCGGGGACCGCCGAAGAGCTAGGAGTCTGGTAGCATGAATATATATTTACATCCTGCACATCCTACTGGATTAATTTGGGAACGCTGGAACGGACCCCTGACGGGACGGCCTCGGACGTCTCGGCGCGTCAGGAGGTGGAGCGGTGGACCCCACGGCAGATGGACTGGTGCGCTCTGGCCTCAGGCCCGTCCCCGGATTGGCAGTGTCCGCCTATCGCCCTTCTGCCGCCCGCCAGCGTACGGTGGGACGCGCGGCGGTTATGGTGGAAATCAGGACACGCATTCCGAGATTTACGGGGAAGGGGTGGGAGCAAAGGATTGTAAACATGCCGACGACCACCTCCTCAAGACTAACAGCGATACGCACGCTGGCTGATACCAATGCCTGGGCCTGCTTTCACCAGCCTCAACAGCCCGCGTTTGTTGATGACGCCCTGACTTCCCCGACCGGTCTTGTTGATGCCGGGGCTGAGCGGCAGTGACGTGACCCTCCCGACCCCTCCCCGGACCGCCGTCCTCCGGGCGCGTCGTCGCCACGGCCGCCCGAGCTGCGACTCTGTCCGGGCTCCGCCCAGGCGCTGTCTGACGCCACTGACCTCGGCTCGCGACGCCCCGCGTCAGCTCCGTCTCAGCGCCAGACGGCTGCGGGGCCGAGGCCGAACCACCCGCTCCGACTGGCATGGGGAAGTAACTCGACGTACGGTAACGTGCTCGCAGGATCGTGCCTCATGCCGGATTTGACCTTGTTTAAATGATTACAATCCAATGGATCTGCCATGGGACAGGAACTCGTAGCATGAGGTACATTCCAGTCTGCTAAATGCAGCGCGACATTTGAAGATCATCATCTTGACGAACTGAGGATTTGGTTTTGGATCTGCTCCAAACTTGCCAATCAGTCTCTAATGTGATGGGCAGCTTCGAAGCTAATCGGCTGAAGTCCGGGCCAGCGGTGAGGCGTAAATTCCGCTGAGGCGCAATCCACCTCAGGAAAGTTGAGTGCATTAGCGAGGAACACTATTCGCATATATAAGACAGAAGTAACAGCCTTATTCTTGGAAAAAAGCTGGAGAATGGAGCAATAGATGCGCTGATATTTCGGCCATATGCCTCTGCATTCCCTTCGATAAAGGCATGTTGCCGAAATATCAACACCTCAATACCAACGTATGTTCATTTCTCCCTAATTTTTTTCGAGGAATATGGCTATTTCTAGTCTTATCTAACCCAGGAAAGCTAGAAATCTGGGATGACTTCGAGAAGAAGTTACGCTGTTTGATGTTCGCAGCTTCGAGCAGCCTAAATACTTTCCTCTTTAGAAAGCTATGATAGCAGCCTTGCAAGGAGACACTGACTTCGCGAAGTTTGAATTGTAACTCAAATTTAATTATTCGCCCAAATGTTTAGATCATGGGTGTCAAATCTAGACCGCCCAACCCGTGCTCTTAAAATCGTTTCCGAGAGATCTTCCGCCCGAAATAACTTCTACCGGCAATTCTTCCACCCAATGAACACCGAACTCTGGTGACCAATGTACAGCTGATGGGAGTCAACGACACCGATGGGAGCCTGTGAGCGCGACGACTGGTGGGAAGCGGACAGAAATGGCCGAGTCGCTGCGGGCTGCAGGATCCGTTTGCAACAGCGAACTGCGATCGCGCAGACCGTGCAGGCTGCGGTGCATTGTGCCGTCCTACCGCGACAGTCCTAGCCGCGGGTATCGCTGCGTGCCGTCCCCCCGCTACAGTCTAAGCCGCGGGTACTGTGCCGTCCGACTGCGACAGTCTCAGCCGCGGGTATCGTGCATGTAGTCCTTCCGCTACAGTCTCAGCCGCGGGTATCGTGCCGTCCGGCCGCGATAGCTCCAGCCACGGGTCTCATACCGTTCGACCGTGATAGCTCCAGCCGCGGGTCTCATACCGTTCGACCGCGACAGCCCCAGCCGTGGGTATCGTGCCATCCGGCCGCGGCAGTCTCAGCCGCGGGTATTGTGTCGCCCGGCCGCGATAGCCTTAGCCGCGGGTATCGTGCCGTCCGGCCGCGACGGTCTCAGCCGCGGGTATCGTGCCGTCCGGCCGCGGCAGTCTCAGCCGCGGGTTTCGTGCTGTCCGGCCGCGACAGTCTCAGCCGCGGGTGCCGTGCCGCCCAACCGCGACAGTCTCAGTCGCGAGTATCGCGCCGTTCGACCGCGATAGTTCCAGTCGCGAGTATCGCGCCGTTCGACCGCGACAGTCTCAGTCGCAAGTATCGTGCCGCCCGACCGCGACGCGATACACCCGACAGAGCCAGGTCAGCCTGAGGGACTAGACGAGCAGAAATACCAGCAGTCCCGCCATGCCCGACGTGCTGGCGGCATGCACGAGCCCAGTAGGACCCACATGCCCAAGCCGGCACAGGCGTAATGATCGGGTGTCGGGCAACAGCGGAGGAGCAATTAGCCTTCGACGGAGCTTCGAGAACAAGCAAGAATATTCTCACCGATGCAATGTGGATGGCAAGGTCACAGCAAACCATTCCCACTTTCTATCACGTCTCGGTGACTTCTCCGCCCTTTCCACACAGCCGCCAGACAATGCGCAGACAGAGCGACAGTCACGAAACTCGAAACTCTGGGCGCGCCTGCAGAATGTCGTGATTACAAACACAGAATTTGGATAAACACAGGCGGCTATGGTCCGCGGCCGTCCACGCCATGTGCGAGACACATCACAGGCCTGGGAGCGACGCTCCAAGGGCGCAGCGGGTCCCAGCGCTGCGTGGCTGTCACAGAGCCGCCCTCCGACCCGTGACCGTTTGAGGTGTCGAGCTCCTGTCAGAGGCTGTGGGGCGCCCGTCCGAGTGGTCAGTGCGCCTGATTCCCAGCGCCAGGTCAGCGGCAGCTCTTGAGGGGGTTCGGCGGGCTGCTCGCGCGTAGGAGACCTCTCCGCGG